TCAAAAGTCTTTTTTAAAATCACAATAACACATTTACCATCAACTATTGAACGCTGAAAAGTCATAACTATAAAGAGAAAACAATATCGGTATGGAGGAAGAATTAATACATTGTCCTTATGGCGAACCAACCAACGTTCACTATTTTCATCGTTATAGAGAAATTATCGTTATATAGGGAATCGTTATAAAGAAAGACTACTGTATTTCCAAAATTATATTTTAAGGATTTTTGAGTTTTAAAAATACAGCGATAAAAATAAGGTATAAAAAATCAGTATAAAAAACCAAAAATAATTTTGATTTTTTAAGTCGCTTATTTGTCATCTTCTTTTTGTCTTGCTTCCAATTCAGCTAAATATATAACAAATTTTCACAAAACTCGAGAGAAATGCGTTGGTAAGACCTGTACTTCGGGCAACAGGTTCTCCAAAGACTCTTGACTATCCGAATTATGTTTAGCGACCTCCATAACCTTCCAAATAACGAGATTTTGCTAATTATATAACGAATTTTCACAAAACTTCACTAGGTACTCCGGAGGCTTTTGGCAATACCATATTCGTGTTCAGCGACCTGAGAAACATTCGAGTAACAAAATTAACTAACTTTGATTAATACTCATTGAACTATAAAAATTTTTTATACCTAAAAATGCCCTTTTAAAAATTCATATTTCTAATGTACAAATAAAGTTTTTCATTTCTACATAATCAAATACGGTCAAATATGGAAAATTTATAGTAAGAATAAATTTTGTGCTTTATTTCCTAGGTCATACTTAACCATCAACTGGCGTTGTGGTTTAATCTGTCGTTAACAGTGGGGTCTGCCGGACCTCATTTTTTTTTTACTTTTTTGTGACATTAATAAAGACATAATTGATTATTTCGTTATAATTTGTAATCATTTAAGCTGGAATAAAACCATGTAAGCCCATTTTTTATTTATTTTTTATTAATAATGAGAAATGCTAAAAAATGTACAATGACTTATTTTTCATGGTTTTCTGACAGCAGAACATAGTTTCTTACAAAAGAAATAGAAAATCAATATTTCCTTCTTGATGTTTTCATAGAAGCAAATCATTTCGGGTTTATCAGATCCTATGTCCTTACATTCGGTATGGTGCATTGATGATATTAACACAACTGCCTTCAATTTGTATTTGAGTGTAGAAGATTATAGTGTAGTCATTTTTAAAATTATAAATGAAATATTCTTCAGCTCTGCTCCGACTTGGAAAGAACTGACCGTCCAAGACTTCTATGGATAAAAACCAATTGTCTGCTGTGACATTTCGGTGTGAACCAGCAATTGGATGACACAGTCTCAATACCGCTTGTGTTGGTTTTATGAAACATCTCTCCGCATTTGTTAGAGAAAAACTATCACTATCCTTACCACTATCCTTACCACAGTAAATGTAGCCATTATAGAAGTAGCGGGTACTTGCGTCTGTTAGGACGATCATTTTCAGTCCATATTTCCGAGCTTTATTAGGTATGTATATGCGGGACCTACACCTACCGCGAAATCCTATTAGCATTTCGTCGATACAACACAATTCTCCCATAGAATAACAGTCTTGGAAAATTTCACAAAACGCTCAAATAATCAAGATACTGCTGCAGTTCGATCATTAGTTTTAAGTTCTTCTCGATCATTTGCATTAACAAACCTAAAACAGAAGCAAAACATATTTACACTAACTATTCAGTCAACAAATCTTAGACATGCGAGCAACACATACACTCTTTTCAAAGACATAATGGATCTGAATATGTCCCGTCCCGGTCCATTTGTTGCAAGTATTTCTTGATAGTCTTCACCATTTGACTTAAAAACTGCCAGAGTAATTCAAGATAGCGAGAAACGCTCTAAATTCTTTCTTCTTATCTTGAAATAACAATATCATTTCATTTGTCGGTAGAATTATTTCGTTTTCCATATCCTTTAGAATTGTCTCCCTGATCTTCCATCTCAGAATCAGAATTATGGTCACTCTCTGGAGAAAAACCTTTGTCGTTGTAGTCCTCATAATCACTAAACTCGCTTCCTAACTCATCATTCACAACCCACTTGTGCCGTACTTTGTTAACGGGCAGCCATTAGAATCTGTGTTTTCGTATAACGATTTTTGTGTTATCGTGAACAGCAGCCTAACTTGGCCCGACCATATTACCTCTATTTGTTAACGTGCAAACTCCAGACTGTTTCTTATTCGAAGGTGTTTTTCGAGAGGTTCAATGCAATCATTCTGTAAACTTAACACTCTGTACGTAAGACCCATACTTGAATACGCTGGACCAACGTGGTATCCTGATCTACTCGAGAAAAGAGTTTATTAGAAAACGTTCAAAGAAAAGCCACTCGAATTTCTTTGAGACCGAGAAGACCTTCTTATGCAGAAAGACAGTATGGCTAACTTATCAGCTTTTAAACTTCTCCGACAACGTAGAGACAATTACATTTAAAACAACATTTAAAATACCAAAATTCAATTTTGGAAACCTCGATGAAATATTTATCATAAATTAAGATGAAAGCCTCAGAGGTCATCAGTATAAACTAAAGAAAGAAAATTTTTCCACAAGATCAAGACAGAACTTTCTTCCAAATAGAGTTTTTGAGTGCTAGAATAACCTTAACGATAACATTGTCTCTGCTCCCTCTACCAACTCGTTCAAAAACAGACTTGACCGTTTTATATTATAGTTACAATATTGTTTTTATTTTAAACCATAAAATTGCAATTTTATTTCTTTTGTTTGTAATTTTGCTTTTTATTTGTAATTTACTAGTAGGGAATTATAGAAATTTCTTTCTTTTTGGGCATAATAGGGACTTCCTCTGTCCTCGCTGATGTTATAATAATATTAATAATAAAGTCCTCAAGTCCAAAATGACAAATGCCGATATGGATGCCAAGCCCAAGAAACCATCCAACATCTTACCGGTGGCTGCCAGGCATTTGTCGGTACTGATTATAAAGAACGCCATGACTCAGCAGGAAAGATTATCCACCAAGAACTAGCTGACAAACTGGGACTTCTCCAAACCGACCATCTTCCTTATTATCAATATGCCCCTGATAGAATGCTTGAAAATGACAACTACAAGCTATACTGGGACCGCACTGTGCTTACAGACCAACCAGTGGCCCATAATAAACCGGATCTTATACTAGTTAATAAACTTACTAGACAAACAACACTTATTGATGTGGCGATACCCAACACCAATAATTTAGGTGTTAAATACAACGAAAAGATCGCCAAGTACAGAGATCTAGAGATACAAATCAGGAGACAATGGAGAATGGAAAGTACCCAGACACAACCTATTGTTCTATCTACTACTGATGTTATTCCGAAAAACCTCCTAGCGAACATAAAACAGCTGGGTCTAAATGAACATCTTTATAAGGCCATGCAGAAAGCTGTACTCCTCGCGACGTCCAGATATGTACGAAAATTTTTGGGAGATACTCCAACATACCAAGTCTCCTAGGGCTCAATAACACGAAAAGAGACCAGAGCTCAATCCAATTGATACCGTAGGTATCTGGGATGAGTGAATTTTCCCCTTAGAGGGAGTGTGAGCCGTATGGCTAAATCTGGGATAATAATCATACCACCGCTTTACATTTTCATCAAAATTAGTCTCTCTGAAATACACTTTTTTTGGAAGAACCTGCCATTTCAGAAATAAATCACTTTTAGCGTTGTGGTACCACACAGACCCCAAATGAATTTTACCGCTCGCTATTCAGAGCAATACTGAATCCATAGATAAAGAATATATATTACCGGATAGACAGGAAACTGTGTAGGTTATTTCTGGACAATGCGCCATCTGGCGGCCTTAGGAAAGCAACATCTTTTTAAAAAATCTCCCAATTCTTCAATTATAAAGATTAATTTTGAGGGTTTGGGTTTGACTACAAAAATAAAACAAACGTTGGTTCTTTTTCTACTTTATTTTTTTTATAAACATTAATTACATGTATTTAAATGTAGTTGGTTAAACAGTGGCTATTCTGTAGTTTCTATAAATTATATCTAATACATTATCAAAAATTTTCAATTAATATCGTCGGCATACTGCAAAAAATCTCATTTTGATGTTTATTAATCTAATGACTTGAATTTATAATATCGCACCCTTAGTAACGTATAGGTACTAGGTACAAATCCAAAATGTAGGGTAATCGCATTTAAAGTTTTGCATGAGTATGATTTTAAAGAAAATGCCCTATAACAACGCCTGTGTATTATATAATTCTAAAAATGTTTAAACTTCCACCGTAGATAATGTATTAAATGTTAGATGTTTTTAAGGTTATAACAATATTTTTTACAAAAAAAAAATAATATAACTAACCATTGTCCAAATAAGCCATTATACAAGTCAATAATAATAAGGTTGTAATTATTACAACCATTAACGCAACAGTTAAAAACCATAATTATTTAAATACGATGGCAAAAAACAAACAATTATTTAATAGCAACAGGAAGCACTGTGTCGAATCGTCGAAACCACAATAAAAAAGGCATACCTGTTTTGTTGGTTGCGGTCTTGCACAGTCACAAAGCTTTGCTACGAATGCTATGCCCTCTGGTGTCCTTAGGAAATACAAATTTCAGAGGACTGTCACTCCCATAAGAGATACCCGAGCATGACTGAATCACAGTTTGCAGACGTGCGTATGGGAGTGGTTTGCGAGTGCACCAACTTAAAGGTAGATGGCGCGGCCAAGCATAAATGTTAAATTTGCAAGTTTTACATGGATTTAATAAGTACTGGGGGTTCACTTGACCCCACAACGCCACTTGAGGGTTAACAAAAAATAAATTAACAAATCAACACATTTTTGTACTAATAAAAATATTTCATACTGTTTTGTATACATGATGGTATATCTTCATTTTATAAAAATATCGTTGGTTGATAATTTGTGCAATTTCATTCCAGATTTAGTTACTGGCAAAATTATGATTTTGATGTTAATGCTGGTAGCAGCAGGTCTTACTGCTGCACTATGCTTCCTTGTGAGAAAACGTTGGCACTATTGGAAAGATTTAAACGTGGACCAGGCGGATATCACATTTATACTTAAAAACATGTATATTTTGTTCTTTAAGATAACTAGCATTGTTGAAATGTCTGTGATAAGTTATAACATGTTTCCCAAATCCAGGTAAGTACAACTTATAGCCAAATTTTTAATAAAATGTGTTCATTATCATTTTGAAGTCTAGAATAAAGCTCTAAAAGAAACTTATAAGTTTACAAGTAGATTGTTTCTCGTATCTATTAGCATGTTTAGTTGTAAGGTTGGCTTATTGTCATTTCAACATATGTAGAAGACGCTCACTTCTCAAATTGGTCCCAAATTCGCGACCAGATATATGAAAGCTGCTACGCAATAATCTAGTCTTGGCCCCAAACTGGCAACCGAAACAAGATTTCGCTTGTCGCACAACCACAGTTGACAACTTAGCACCTCTTACATTTCAATTTGGGCCATGGGCGTATCCAAGAAGATTTTTAAGTGAGCAGCGTGGTAACTGCTAATAATAATATTTGTCACTGATTACGACCTTCTCGTTAACAGCTGACCAATAACTTAATAAATTATTATAGAAGAAATTAATAACCGTTTTATTTTTTTAGGTATGTTGGAACATATCGATTTCTTAAACCGATGATGTTAATTAAAGATCCGGAACTAATAAAAGATATTACAATCAAACATTTTGACCACTTTATGGATCATACAAACCATAAATCTAAAAATTCAGATCCACTGTTGTGGACAAAAAATTTAGTGGCGCTTAGAGGTAAAAACTTTGAAAAGTTTTGTGTTGAAATAGTTTCTGGTACATTGATGATTATATTATTTATTATTAGTCCAGTCATGGGCCGTTTTTGCGTGGAATTTTTGAACCTCAAGTCGATTTTTATGAAAATTTATTTTTAGGTAATATTTACCATAGTATCCTAGAGATGAAAGCTACTCCTCCTAGGGGGTGAAAAGTTTTTTAGTCAAAATTAACATTAAAGTCAATAGACACCAATTATTCTAAGCAATTTTTATCCAATTACTTTTCTTGGAAAGTTGATACTTTGGAGTTATTCACGATTGAATCTGTTAATTTTTTTCAAGAATAACTACAAAAATCCCTTTTATCGAAAAAACACAAATTTAGCTAATAAAAAGAAGACAGTTTTTTAACGATTTCAGTAAACTCGATACGAATGGAGCTACTGCTTGTTTAAAGGCGATTATTTTTTGAAAACCCTGAAATTTGAAACCTTCGACCATAAATAACTTGATAATGGTGAAATTTTTAGGAAAAACTTAGGAGATCTTCTTGAAAGTACTTAAAATACCTTTCAAATCAGTAGAGATAAAAGTGTTTTGGATAAAAAGTAAACCAAGTATGACAAAAATAAAGTCACTTGTTTTGTGACAGAAACGAAAAATGACACCTTTGCTATTACTATTTTAATTGAAAGTAATCGTAACCAATTAACAACTTACTTTAGTTGGGTATTATTAATTTAATTCAAGTATAAAGTATTATACTTGAATTTTGAAACACAATTGGCTTCAGAAATGGACTGGGAACTCGGGACGCCCTCTTTGCACTAAATGTATTACTGCAGAAATGTCGAGATCAAAGGAAAGACGTCTTTGCTGTATTTATTGACCATGAAAAGGCCTTTGATCGAGTACAGCATCACAAATTAATTACAATATTTAAAGATAAAGAAGTTGATAGTCAAGACATACGATTCATAGAAAAGTTATACTGACGTCAAACAGCGACAGCTTGTATAAACGGAAAATCAACAGAAATATGTAAAATGCAAAGAGGTGTCAGACAGGGTTGTATACTATCCCCACTGTTATTTAATTTATACTCAGATAGAATATTTAAAGAAGCGCTGCATAATTTGGAATGGGGCGTGAAAGTTAATGGAATTCTGATAAATACAATCAGATATACTTGACAATAACTAACCAGTTGTTATCAACAGGTCCTCGAAGACACTTCGTCTCAGGACCATTTTACCTATGTAGGGTCATACGTCGCTATGTTACCAATTCCAACGGTAACTTAAACATCATAATTTGTAACCACATATAATTTAAAACAAATGTAAATTTACATCATTTAAAGGGTTTGGACCCATATATTTTGGTGGCTCATAGCATGTATACCTCGTTTGCACTGATGATGGATTTAATAATCCGAAAACATTTTGCAATATCTTTGTGATAGCCCGTTTGAGCATTTTATTATATACCTTTTATAAAGGATTTTAAATAAATTTTTTGTGATATATGGTATATAGCCAGCTATAGGAACTTAGTTTCCTAGTGGATTTTTATATATAAGGAGATTTCAATATATTTCATATACGAGGGGATTTCAATATACTTCAAAGAATCAATGAAATTGAAAATGCTACAATAGTCAGAATCAATTTGCACTTTTCTTCCGTAGATAAAATTGTGAAATTTATTGCATGCATATATGATAGCCAAGAAGAGTTTTTCAATTTTACTCTGCTGCCGTTAGTGCCCTTGATGCAAATGCTACCGATCTGTTATTCTGTAAGAGACAGCACTCCAAACCATTACTACTACTGCCAGTCTGTATCATGGTTGGTAACTTCTCATTGAATTTAACAAGCATATTACTCGACTTAATTACTTCTTTTATTTAATTTAGTGCATAAAAATGAATATGAATATGAAAATAGGTATGCCACCACAAATACTACGGCCACTTGTTATAGAAAACGACATCATCGAAGCAGTTAACGAATTTGTATACCTGGGAACGCTCGTCAATACTGAAAATGACACTACTGCAAAGATAAACCGCAGAATTTGCACGGCAAATAGATGCTATTTTTGGCTTAATCTCATTTTTAAATCTACAGTTATATCAAGAAATACAAAAGGAAAACATCTTATAAAATACAAAGTCCTAACATATGGTTCAGAAACCTGGACTATAACAAAAAGCAATGAAAACATGTTAGGATGCTTCGAAAGAAAAATACTAAGGCGAATCTATGGAGCGGTAAATGAAAATGGTGGCTGGAGAAGACGATACAACTTTGAACTCCATAGAATATACCAGGAACCAGATATCGTAAAACACATTAAGACAGGACGTCTGAGGTGGGTAGACCATGTAATGCGGATGGAGCAAACCGACCCAGCTATAAAAACGCATCTTGATAGACCTATTGGTCAAAGAAGAAGAGAAAGACCCAAAACAAGATTCCTAGATAACAAAGATTAGATGCGGCGATGGGAATGACTGGAAAGTATACGAGGAGCTAATTAAATGGAGAGTAAGCATAATGGAGGGTCAATCACCGACGGTGGAAAGCCTGGAGAGAGTCATTAAAGAAGCGATGGAAGGAAGCAAGATTGGTCGCCAAGATGTCAACAGGATGCCATATTGGTGGAATGCGGACATCGAGGCACTAAGAAATGTATGTATAGCGATGAGAAGAAGGTTAACAAGAGCAAGAGGCAGAGCAGGAATCAATCCTGAGGTCATCGAGGAGATCGAGGAAGAGTACCGCGCAAGGAAGACGGAACTGTACAGGAAAATTCGTACAGAAAAAAGAAGGCACTGGAAAGAGCTGTGTGAAAAACTGGATTAGGAGATCTGGGGTCAGGGATACAAGATCGTTATGAAGAAGTTCCACGCGTATCCTCCTTACGAAATGCCTATGGACAAGAAGCTTGAGGTAACAAGAGAGCTCTTTCCGGACGGCAGATGTCATGGTGTATGGAGAGATGAAGGAGCTGAGCGGGCTGTAGCCTTTACCATGGATGAACTTTTCAAGGCATTGGGTTCACTCAAGACTCGTAGGTCCCCCGGACTGGATCAGATACCACCTGAGGCGGTAAAGGGTCTAGGACGTGTGGAGCCTGCGTGGCTTCTGGAACACATGAATGCATTGCTGGAAGCACAAACCTTTCCTGAGCCTTGGAGGACATCGAGGTTAATACTGATTCCCAAAGCTAGGGAAAAGTATCGCCCCATCTGTCTTCTTCCATGCATCAGTAAGCTCTATGAAAGGATGCTGCGAGTACGCATAGACGACATGATTGAGAGGTCAGGTGGTTTATCTCGGAGGCAATTTGGTTTTTGTAAAGGGAAAAGCACGATTGATGCAATCATGAGTGTACTCGAAACATTGCACAACAGAGGGAATGAACATCGCTGGGCGGCCCTGCTGTTGTTTGATGTTAAGAATGCATTCAATACGCTGCAGTGGAACGAGGTAATGAAGGCAATGGAGGAGAGAGAATGTCCTGGTTACTTGATGAATGTTATGGCTTAGTATCTGTCCGAGAGAAGGATTATGCTGGAAAAGGGCACAATCGTGGACGTGACGGCCGGGGTACCCCAGGGATCTGTCTTGGACCCGACGCTATGGAATCTGGCATATGACGAGGTTATGCACTGTGAATACGGAGAGGGTACAACCCCCTTCGCATTCGCAGATGACCTCGCTGTACTGGTAGTAGCCCGGGATGAGCCAGATCTCAAATACCGGGTTCGGAACGCAGGTAGCGTCGTAAATTAATGGATGACGCAGCACGGACTAAAACTTGCGACAGAGAAAACCGAAGCCATTATTCTGAAGGGGGCAAGGAACAGGCAAGGTGCTGAATTGAAATGTGTGGGAGTATGTCTAACACCCAAGAAACAAGTAAAGTATCTAGGAGTGACATTGCACCAGAATGGAAAATGGAGGAACACGTTCGGGAGGTGGTCCGAAAGGCTGCGAATAGTGCGGCTGCGTTGGGGAGAGCGATGCCGAACATTGGAGGACCCAAATCCGAAAGGAGGAGGGCCTTACACGGTGTTGTACAGTCTATCGTTCTCTACGCAGCACCAGTCTGGAGCGAGGCGGTAGAGATAACGGCCTTTAGTAGTCTTATGAAACGAGTAGACAGAACAAGTCTGTTGCGAGTGGCATGCGCCTACAGGACTGTGTCTGCAGCCTTGTGGACCATCACTGGATGTGTTCCGTTGCATGTTTTGGCGGTGGAAAGAAAAAAACTTTATGAGAGAAGAGGCCCAAACCTTACTGTGGCTGAGAGAAGACAGGTAAGGGAAAGGTCAGTTAAAAGATGGTAAGAAGAATGGAACAATACGGAGGATGTGGCACAGTGGACGAAAATGCTGATCCCTAACATAAGAGTTTGGGTGGACTGTGACCACAGGCGATTGGATTATTTCCTGACGCAGGTGCTCACAGGACACGGGTGTTTTAGGGCCTACCTTTATAGGATCGGTAAGGCTGATACAGATGAATACCTATATTGTGGATACTCGGACACTGTGATACATACGATGTTAGATTGCAGCAGATGGATAGTGGAAAGGAACAGAATGGAGAGAGAGACAGGTGTGAATTTTGTTACAGTGAGAGAAATGATTGAGAGAATGATTGAAAATAAATTAGGTTGGATTAACATACACAGTTATATCCGTGCAGTGATAAAAAAAAAGGAAGAGGAAGAAAGACAGCTGGACCAACGGCAAAGGTAGAGTGAATGATGCTGAAAGGTGAAGTTAGAACAATGGGTCACACTTTTTGAGTTAGAATGCGTGAGTTTGACTGTGGGCAAGGAGGAAATGCCCTTCTGAGAATGATGCCGAACTAGGAGTGTGGATGTGTATGAATGGAGAATGAATGAATAAAGGTAGTGCTTCGGAAGTGATGCCGGCCTTACAGCGGCCATTCCGCTTCCGGATCGCTGGATGACAGAAGAGGGTCTGGTTTAGCAGGTAGGCGTTCGGCGCAGACTCGGCGACGAGAGGGCATTTTAAAGTACCTCGGGAACTATCGCCGGGATACGAAGAACGAATCCTGCACTAAGGTCAGTCAGGCGGCGTCCTGGACTGAGATGTCTTTTGAAGATTCCAGACCCCCCTCTATAAAGACGAAAAAAAAAAATAAAGATCAAGATATGAGAAATATGAAAATACGTGCTTGGCAGAGGAAGGCGATGTATAAGAATGACTGGAAAAAAAATCTTTGGGAGGCTAGGACTCACACAGGGTTGTAAAGCAAAAATGAAGTGCATCAGAATCTCTATATGTCCATACCCATGCATTCCTGTTTTTAAGAGTTTTCTTAAGGACGTGAAAATCTCTGACAAGATTAGAATGAATGCTCTCGAATAATTCACCATTCCCAAAATTTTTAATAATAAATAAGTATGTTTTTTTTAGGTTTAGGTAAATTTCAGAAAAAATGTAGTTTAAAGCTTAAAGAAAATGCAGTGCCAGTGGCTAGGCCACCGCGTCGAGTACCACTTACGATCAAGCCTAAACTTAATAATCAACTGAGTGATCCTGAAATGCGAGGAATCATAGAAAAGGTTGATGGTCCTACGCAGTGGTTTAGTAACCTGGTATGTAATTGTTGAGAAAGCTGATAAATCATTACGTATCTACCTAGAGCCCCGTGACCGTAATCATAACCTACTGCTATGACTCAAAGGCATCGCCTAAATTATCAGATTTTATCAGTGTGAATTCCTGCATGGCCACTAATTATACTGACTATCTGTATATTTTTCTTGAGTTCTACATTTGCGTTTGGCAAAAAGTATTTATTTCAGTATTAAAACGAGTTAAGGTTTGGTATGGAATTTTAAAACAATTCGAACGAGAACTTTTTAATAATCAATTTTTTTACATATTATTTAAGGTCTACAATGGCGTAACATGAGGTCTACTCTGAGTCCTTCCTTTACGAGCAGTAAGATGAAAATTATGTTTACATCAATCAGCGAATGTGCCCAAAATTTTTCGAGTTATTTACAGAAGAAGAATCAGGAAATTGTACAACTTGAATTAAAAGAAACTTTTAAACGATGTACAAACGATGTAATAGCTACGACTTTATTTGGTATTAAAGTCGATTCTTTCGAGGATCCTGATAATGAATTTTATTCCATGGGAAGAAAAATGACAAATTTTAGCGGCGCTCTAAAGACGCTGAAGTTTTTGATTGGTGCACATGTTCCAAGACCAGGAGAGGTACGTCAAGTTTTACAATTGCATCTACGATTTCTGCCCTAGTATTTAAGAAGTTACCAGTTTTATATTTGCATAATTTAATCTGTTTTTACATTATATTATTGCGAATGTGAATTTTGGATATTGCTGGGTGCAGCCAGAGGTAAACTCTGACCACCCAGAAGACCCCCAAAATGATTACATGAAAGTTTTAGATTTGAGATATACATCGTCAAGATTCCAACTCAGATTAAATTCCAACTTAGATTAAAACTTAAAAAAAAACAACACATTATGTGAAAATGAGGGAAGAACCCGATGAGAGAAAGAAAATAAAATCTGTAATCAAACCTATTTCTCTCTTCTATGCCTCCAAGCATCCCTTTTCTTGGCTGCTTCTGTTATCCATCCTCAATATCTCTTTCGTCAATCTACCTCTTCCTTGGTGTTCCTACTGGCCGACGTCTCACCATAGTTCCACTAAGCGTTCTACTAGATGATCTGTTATTATTCATTCTTATAAGGTGAGCTGCCAATCGCAAATTTTGTAATTTTGCATAATTTGCTATAGAGGATTCTTTGTAATATTGGAATATATCGTGGTGAACCTTTCTTCACGTATCATTGTCGGAAATCAGCCCCAATACCCTTCCCATAGCTTTCTTTCCAAAGTATTAATAAGGTTTATTGTTATTTCTGCCATGACCCATGTTCTACGCCATATGTCGTGCGCTATTGGTCGTATAATGGTTTTGTATATTTTGAGTTTAACATCCATCTTTGGATTAAAATACCCGCGACAGGGAGAAGTATACTTTGTTAGTAAGCATTACCTTTTCCGTATTTCTTTCTATTCGCTACGATCCTCATTTATCTGTACGCCCAGGCTGTTTTGCTACTTCAAACGTATTTAAACAATGATATTTACTTATTAATTATATTTTATATTTGTCATTTATATATTTACAGCTTGTGAAATTGCCATTTTTTGATAAGGACCTAAGAAATTTCTTTACTAACATAATTGACAAAACGGTGCGCATGAGAGAAGTGAAAGGAATTGTTCGTCCGGATATGATACACTTATTAATGGAAGCTAGAAAAGATGTCTCTATTAATGAGGAACGTAATACGGAAGGACTTTCTGTAGTAAAAAAAGCCGAAAATATAACAGGTATTAGTTTTTGGGAATTATGATTTATTGTGTAGATTATTTCATTTTCACAAGAGTCTCAGCTATCTTTTTGTACTCAAAATTAAATTTTAGGGTTATAAACACAATTATAAAATTATCATTATTATTTTTTCATCTTGAAAACCCTGTTATCATCTAGATATCTTCATCGCCAATGCTCCGAGGATTTGAAGCGGATTACTACATGACCAAATAGCGAACCAGCTATGGGTGTTGCTTTCTGTACATACGATGACCTTTATATAACATATGAGGCTACTAGAAAGGAGGTATGAATATGTAGGTCCAACCTAAACACAATTGTTTCTCCCATTTGAATGAAGTATATTGTATATGTAAAGAAAAATAAACAAAACACTGTAGTAAGCTCTATTCAAAGCAACTGAAACAAAACTAAGAATTTCAAATACGCATTTAAATCTAAAGAATTAAAATATGTGATTCCAAACCAAAGATTCAAAAATTTTATTTACAATCAAAGATAAGTATTACAAAGATAATTATACTAGCGGAGTTATACAAAATAGACAAAATAGAATTAGAAAGGAAACAATAGGTTGACCATCGCAGATTGTGAATAAATTAACCGTCAGGTATACAGGAACAACGAAAAGCAAGCTATTATGTACTTGCCTAAGATCAAAGGATAACCAAGTAATCACATTGTCGCCAGCACCGTTGCTCTCTATCTTGAGCTGTTCTTAGTATCAAATGTGTGTCCATGCCTGTCCAGTCTCTTACATTCTTCAACCAGGAACTTTTTCTTCTTCCTGGACCTATTCTTCCTTCTACTTTCCCTTTCATTATAAGAAGTAGAAAGTTGTATTTTTCTCCTCTGTAAATATGTCCTAGATAACTCGTTTTTCTGTTTTTTACAATATTTAGGAGATCTCTCTCAGTACCCACTCTTCTTAGCACCTTGTAGTTGGCACGTGCTCTGTCCAAGAGATCTTGAGCATCTTTTTTACAAATTGGTATCCGATATCCAACGATAACGTAGATTTTATTAGTAATTTTTTCATTCGTTGAAATGCGGACCCAGCATATTCTATACGAGCACGTATTTCGACCTTGGTGGTCAAGATCGTTTGTTATCCAGCAACCAAGATACTGGAATCTTTGTACTGGTTCTATATGATTGTTATAGATACGAATTTGGTGCACGTGTAACAGCCACTACTTTTATTTTATTTGTGTTTATATTTAGTCCCAAACTATCTCCCTCTCTGACTATGACATTCAAAAGTCGTTGTAAACCCTCAGCACTGTCCGCAATAATGACGATGTCGTCTGCGCATCTTAAGTTGTTTGCGTATTCTCCGTTGATTTTTATTCCTTCTTCGATGATTTCTCTGTTTCTGCTATTAATTGACAGCTATATATTAATTCTTAACATTGCCATAACTGTAGACAGAGGGACTTATTATCCATGCCTGCTTCTTCTTCTTTAAGTGCCGTCTCCTTTAAGAAGGTTGGCTATCATCACGGCTATCTTCACCTTTGACACTGCTGCTCTAAACAGCTCAACAGAGTTACAATTGTACCACTGCCTCAAATTGTTTAGCCAGGATACACGTCGTCGGCCTATGCTTCTTCTGCCCAGTATCTTTCCCTGTATAATGATCTGCAGCAACTCATATCTCTCACCTCTCATGACATGACCCAGATACTGCAATTTTCTTATTTTAATTGTATTTAATATCTCCTTTTCCTTGTTCATTCTTTTTAAAACGTCGTTGTTCGTAACCTTATCGATCCAACTTATTTTTAAAATTCTTCTATAAGCCCACATCTCAAACGCTTCTATTCTGTTACTTATATCTTTTTTAAGCGTCCAAGCCTCCATTCCATATAATAACACAGAAAATACATAACATCTAAGCATTCGTACTTTAAGTTGCAGACTCAGATCATTGCTGCAAAGTACTTTTCTCATAGTATTGAATGTTGATCGGGCTTTTCCTATACGTGATTTGATTTCCTGTGTGTAATCGTTGTTTTCGGTTATGATTGTTCCCAAGTATGTATATCTGTTCACCTTTTGAACGAGTTCGTCCCTAATCCATAACGTGTCCTGTTGTTGTGTCTTTGCGATGGTCATGAATTTCGTCTTTTTGATATTTAAAGTAAGTCCAGCCTCTTCGCTACTGTCTACAATCTTATTTATCAGAACCTGCAATTCTTCAACTGACTCTGCGATTACTAAAGTATCATCGGCGTATCTGATGTTATTAATTTATAAGTTCTCCGTTGACTTTAATTCCACTTGATGTTTCTTTTAGTGCCTTCTGAACTACCTCTTCTGAATAGCGGTTAAAAAGCAGCGGAGACAATATGCATCCCTGCCTTACCCCTCGTTGTATTTCTATTTCTTCTGATAGTTCGTTGCCAACCTTTACAGATGCAACTTGATTAAAGTAAAGGTTTGATATTATTCTAATATCTTTCATATCCAGATTTTTATCTTGAAGTAGCTGTAGTAGGCGATTATGTCTGACTTTGTCAAATGCCTTATTGTAATCAAGGAAACAGACATAAAGAGGTTGGTTAACATCCATACATCTTTGGGCCAATACATTCAGGGCAAACAAGGCCTCTCTTGTACCCATTGCGTTTCTGAAGCCAAACTGCGTGTTACTAATATCTTGCTCCAGTTTTCTGAAAATTCTTTGATGTATAATTTTCAAGAATATCATCCATGCCTGCAAAGAAGATTAATAATGGCATTATAAATTAAAAGTTAATAAAAAAATTAATAGTTTAAACATTAGTTTTGATTATAATATTCTAATAAAAATATGCTTACTGAAAAAAAAATAATATTTTCACATTTTAGATTAGTTACTTGTAAAGAAGGGAATGCCGTTTTAAATTTACTCCAAACAACAGATTTGTGACTTTGGCTGTTTTTCCCCTGTACCCTTCATATAATATAACTTAAATTTTGTGTAGTAAACGTATGTCCTTAAGGAATTTGATTGTATTTGATATATTACTGTTTAAAATATCTTTAAGTTTCTTTGCTTCTTCTGGTACGTTGTTGATGGCTCTTTCGTAGGAATAAAGACGACATTCAATCAGTACATGTTGAACAGTTATTGGACATTCACAATAGGAACATTCAGGTGGTAGTTCAGTAACCAGATCTGTATTATACAGCAACTGAAAAATATATGGAAAGCATGCAATAGATGAATAATAAAGTATTAAATATAATTTGTATATTTAAGGACGTTTAGAAGCTGTATTAAAGTTGATGCCAAAACCTGGAAGAAATAGGATCAGAAGAACGAAGAAGACCTGGGGAAAGACACTTAGGCAGGACATGTCGGTAAATAGGATTTGTAGTGATATGACCCAAGATAAAAACTTGGTGAATTCACAGTGTAAAAACTGACCTCGCATAGGATAAGGGCAAAGGCAATGATAATAATGATGATAATGATGATGATAAATTAGATACTAACATTTAAAATTTTATACAATATACTGTGATTTTAAATCTTTCTTTGAACGCCAAACTTTATAAAGAGCTTCTTTATTTACATCATTCTTTTAAACTTATCTAATCGAGTATCTGAAGAGCCTCATATTTTCATATTTTAGTAACCAACTCATTGTGTCTGTACTGTAAGTTTAAATTAATAGATTACAAATAATTTAAGATTAAAAAATAGTTTATTTTAGGGAAATCCGTTTTAAAAGATATTACCAACCTAGACATAACAGCACAGGCATTAATTTTCTATTTAGCTGGATTCGAGACTATGGCCTCATCAATGTGTTTTGTTGGCTATGAACTGGCTGCCAATCCTGATTACCAGAAGAGACTGAGAGGGGAAATTATGGAACATTTGAATCAGTGCAAGGGAGAATTGACTTACGAATCTTTATTGAAAATGAAGTATATGGATATGTTTGTGTCAGGTAAATATGATGTCTAATTCCTGGGTTTAAATCACACTTTCAGCTCACCCTAGACACAAAAATAAGGCTCCTTAAATGTTATGTGTACTCAGTGCTTCTGTACGAAGTAGAATCGTGGACATTAAAGGCAGAAACCATATCAAAACTTCAGGCTTTTAAGCTATGGTCATACGGAAGGATCTTGAAGATACCATGGACAGACAATGTCACCAATGAAGAGGTACTACAAATGATAAACACAACTGTGTATTTGGTCAACATCGTGAAGGGCCGTAAGCTGCAGTACTTGGGACATGTAATGAGAAATCGAGGCAGATACGAGCTACTTCAATGTATTTTACAAGGTAAAATTGAAGGAAAAAGGGCCCCAGAACGAAGAAGAATATCCTGGCTTGCTAACTTGAGAGCATGTTATAGAAAGACCTCAACACAGCTATTTAGTATAGCAGCCAACAAATCGTCATAGCCAGAATGATCGCCAACGTTCGGAAAGGACAGGCACCCCTTTTTCTTTTTCTTCAAGTGCCCTGTCCGTTGCGAACGTTGGCTATTAACATGGCAATTCTGATCTTGTTTGCGGCGCTTCTGAATAGTTCGACCGATGTGAGCCCGAACCACTTCCGCAGATTTTGGAGCCACGAGTGCCTTCTCCTGCCTGGCTCTCGCTTACTGTATATTTTTCCCTAAACAATCACTTGCAGCAGACGGTACTTATCGTGTCTCAATATGTGGTCTAGATATTCAAGCTTTCTTTGTTTAATTGTATTCACGATTTCTTTCTCCTTTCCGATTCTTTGGAGTACCTCTATGTTGGTGACATGTTCGGTCCAGGATATACGAAGAATGTGTCGGTACACTCACATTTCGAATGCTTCTAGTTTTCTCGTGAGTGTTTCCGTCAGCGTCCAGGCCTCCACACCATACAGTAAGATCGGAAAGATGTAGCATTTAACTAGACGTAGTTTTAGGGGAAGAGACAAATCCTTGCTTTTGAGGAGCTTTTTCATATTGCTAAATGCTGCTCTAGCTTATTCTATTCTTGCCTTAATTTCTGTGGCCTGTTTCCATTTTGAATTTACGTTGATGCCAAGATATACATAAGATTCTACATGGTCAATTAGTATGTTACTTATCCGTAATTGTCGAGCAAGTTGTTGCTTTTTGATTATCAGGATCCACTTTGTCTTCTTGAAGTTAAGGCTTAGGCCGTATTCCTCACTAACTGAATAAACTCTTTCCATTACCTGTTGTAATTCGCCTATGGTACTGGCAAGGATCACTATGTCGTCGGCATATCTTATATTGTTCGTTAACTCACCGTTTATTTTTATGCCCTCATTTGCATTTTCCATACATTTGTTAAATCTTTCCCCGGAATACATATTGAATAGGAGTGGGGATAATATACACCCCTGATGGACACCTCTTTTGATCTGCACACTTTCAGTGAGTTCGTTGCCCATTTTTGCTGTTGCTGTTTGACCCCAGTATAGGTTTGCCACTATTCGAACAAAGCACAAATACACGTCCTTGCTAGTGGAGCGAGCGAAAAAGAGCGAAAATTGCTTCTCTAGTTCCAAGTGCTTTCCGAAAACCAAACTGCGATATATCATATATTCTTCTATGAATGATCTTAGTGAACGCTTTGGTGACATGATTGATCAAGTTTATAAGCCGGTAGTCATCACAGATCTGGGCATTTGGTTTTTTCAGGATTGTAATGAATGTTGAATACAGCCAGTTCTCTGGGATTTTACCGCTATTATATATGTTGTTAAAAAATACAACTAGATTATCAAGGAACTGTTTGTCTGATTTACATACGATCTTTAAGGTACAGGCACCCCAAGAAGCAGAAATCACACTTGTTTTTGTAGTGGTAAACGAAGCTGTGGAGTATGCTAAGTAATACGGATCTAAGAAGGTGACCTCTTTACAGGACAGAATGGAAAAGTCAAATAGTTTAAAATCTAATTATAAGAGAGTTGGTAATAAAATGTAACGATGATCATTGCTGGGGAACCATGTGGTTCCTTTTGGAAAGGATTTTACATTGAAGTGTGATGTATGAAGATTGCTAAAGTTCTCGTTGAGAACGATCAACTAATCAACGGTTCACTGAGCTCAATAAAAACAAGGTACTTTTTCTCCTTGCTTCATGTTTCGAGATATTTTATAACAGCGATAGAATAGAAGTGTTGTAACACATCAACATATGCATTTGACATTGTTTGATATCTACATATGACTTTACAATTATTAGAATTGAAGAAGTGCAGCAACTGCACACGAAAGGTTTTCTATTAAAAAAAATTTAAATAGTTTTTTCATTTATGTATATATATATATATATATATATATATATATATATATATATATATATATATATATATGTGTATTATATATATATGTATATATATATATATATATATATATATATATATATATATATATATATATTCTCCTTTTAGAATCTTTGAGAAAATGGCCTGTTGCTATAACAAACGAGCGACAATGCACCAAAGATTACATCATTAAACCTGAACGACCAGAAGAAGCATCCGTTACTATCAAAAAAGGAATGACCATCTTGATGCCAGTATATCCCATCCACAGAGACTCCAAATACTATCCAGATCCAGATAAATTCTACCCCGAGAGGTTTAGTGACGAGAACAAATCTAAAATCAACCCATACACATATCTACCATTTGGACTAGGTCCAAGAAACTGTATAGCTTCCAGATTTGTTTTATTGGAAATCAAGGTGCTGTTCTTTCATTTGCTTAAAGATTTTGAAATTGTTCCTGTGGCAAAATCACAAGTTCCTCTGGTAATTCCGAAAGGTAGCTTCAATCTCACATCTGAAGGTGGATTTTGGTTTGGATTGAAACGTTTATAAATTGTGTTATGTAATGTATTTTAAGATTAAGATAAGGTTAATAAATATGTTTACTTTGTTAAATAAAAGATGAAAACTGTGATTTACTTATGACAATGACGATGCTGTTTTAGTCTCGACTAAATACTCGTAAGCCTTAGAGGGGGTTAATGAACTTACAAAGAGATAGTACCTTTGTAGCGTGTTAACTAAACACTGGTCCTCACAAGTCCAGAGACCTAGATGAACCGAATATAACTCTTTTAAGCGGAGTCTTAGCTTCCCTTTAGTTAATATCATAATACGTCTCGAGAGCCACATTATTTACGTAGAATCTCGGTTAACCTGGGGAAGGTAAACAGCATATCCAGTACCCAGTTAAGGCGTATGGGAATCGATCCTGGACCGGTGCAATATTGGATACCAAACAGCAAAACTGATGCAGTTTAACTGGCTTCTGTACTGAGATAACTAAACTAGATAATTTATGGGCCTCGTATGACCAAATTATATCCAGAATTAGCAATCCACGTTTACTAGTCAACAGCTATGGAAGGAGGAACTAATAAATGATTGGGCAACTTTTTGTCCCAATGTGGAGAAATTTAAGATATAATATCCCAGAACATAAACGGCATCATGTCCTGGTAGATGCGGATGATCTGGTCATCCTAGTTGATGTCATAGTCCAGTCAGAGAATAAATGTAACAAACTCTGACTGTAATCAAAGAATGGACTTTATTTACGCAAGTATTACAAAATTTCACTGAAGGTAGACTGAAGAGTCCAATAATGTTTTGAACTTAGAAATATTCTACTTGGATGATCGAGTTTTTTAAATATAGGACTTTGCATAAGCCCCTAGAAGTCCAAAATTATAAAATTTGGCAGAATCAAAAATTTAGATAAATTTGGGACCTCTAATCCTAAATGGTACAGTGAAGCAGTGAATGGAAGCAGTGAACGAATTTGTATACCTGGGAAGGCTATTAGAGTGGACCCATACCTCTTTTAGTTTGCAGGCCTGGCGATGCCTGCTGGGTGGCTACGTTCATCATGTAACCAAACCCCCTGCCATCCGAAAACTGGCCTCGTCTTGCTGGTCTGTTTCTCTTCGTTTCGATCCAGAAAGTAACAAACCAGTAGCGTATGGCCCTTTATGGTCCGTTGTTTGACAAGATATCCCCCATCAGAAAATCCACCATCCCCCTCTGGGATTACTTGAGCCGTCACACCAAACTAGAGGCTCGCATAAATAGCGACTGGTAATAATAAAGTTAAAAAATAGTGAATAGAAAAATAGGACATTCACAAACATAAAAAGACATCTTTTATTATGTAGATGTCTGTTCAAAAGAACAGACATCTACATAATATGTCAAGAGAGTAAAAATCTAACTAGATAAACGTAGATCCTCGATAGCAAGAAACCGGTACTTGCACTCGAAGTAAAATTGCCATAAGTCACTTATGCTAAGACCTCACAAAATAACTATAATTATAGATGCTACTGTGAATAGCCTTTGTGATAAAGTTGAGGACGTCAAACCTTAATAGGTTAAAATTTCTCAGGACACGAGTATTTGACTGACACCATGTTCCGCGAGCTGCAACGATTAGAAGTGCCATGCAAATAGTCTTCCCAGGATATCGGGTTTACATGGTCTGAAAAAATCGAGGTTCAGTAAAGAGCGCCGTTTTATTGGCGGCTGCTGACCTTAGGATTTCAGGACCCATCCAGCTGACGGCAACGTCCACGACAATTACCCGCTTATCCTGTTGCGCGACAAGGTAAGAGTACAGTCGGCGCATCTTATTCTAGGCTCTGTCTCACATGTCCACCCTTTCTTTTCAACTGCTTTGCGAAGATACGCAACAAGCTGATCGTGTCTCTTGATTAGTACCTGTGGGCGGCGGGGCAGTTTTGAAGAATGTGACTAAGGATCTCGTTCGCATTCCTTTCGGCACCTACGTTCATATGGTAGGTTTGAAGGGATTCCTCTAGTTGGAAGTAAACTCCCTCGCAGTTGTATTTCTTTGATAAAATCTCTCCCCGACCAGTAGAGCGGTGCATTGCTTATCCACGCAGAGCTCTCAGAGTGTGAAGAATCCTGCCGAAGTTTGTTTTCACTATAGCCGTCCTCAAGCTTCTGGATCAACTCAGGTGCGATCGACGCTGAACTGCCTGACGATGTTTGTGTCAAGCCAATGTTTAGTAACAGAGACGTGACATATGTGGTAGACTGAGGATTAAGGACATGGTTTTAGTAGCTGAGCTAATCAATTTAGTCAGTCTTCTTCTCATGATAGCCGGGACGTGCATGGCCATGGTCATGATGCTCAGTACCCTCTTTTGTGCGTGCGTGAATGTTGGCGTCGGCACTCGTTCGATTGAGGGTTCGATCTGTGTCTGCAGATCGTTGAAGGCTACCTCGGTCTGTCCTAGTGCATAAGACCTTCGACCTAGGTATCCAACCAGCTCACTCAGTTGCAACTGCCGAATCCTGGCGTTGCCGACAGAGAAGAGTAAACGCGTCACGCAGTAAGAGTACTTGTTATTACGGTTTACATTAACCGTAATAGCCGCACTCTTATCAGCGTTAGTCGACATTCCTCTCTTCTTAAAGAATTCGGTGGCTGTCCAGAGCTGTCTGGTATAATATTTGGCCGATTCAAATAGCAGGATTAAATCATCAGCTTAATTCAACATTAAGATTTTTCTGCCATCTGCAATCGAAGGTCAAGCTTATCTTCCTCAAGCTTGCATTGATTGAACTGCACCATATTGAATAGGTAAAGCGATAAGGGATCTTCCTGTTGATTACATCTACACATTTCGATGTCAGTCGTTGACCTGCTGCCAGCAGTGACACTCGTACAAGAACTGTCGTACAAGACATATCGCTTAAGTGTAGCGTCGACTCCGAAGCGGTTCATAGCCCGTTCATTTGATCGCTGAGAGACTGTGTCGAAAGTTTTTTTGAAGGTCTATCGTAATGATGTTATATGGACGAAGGGCTCTTCTTTTTTCTTTGATAATCTACCTTCAGTGGAGTGACGTTCTTCATCGACGAAGAGAAATAGAAAATATATGTTAAAAAAAGACAAAATATAAAGACAAGAAGCAACACAGCGCGGAAAACCGCTTTTCTTCTCAATCTTTGTGGTTTACGATACCTGAGATAGGTCAAAAATGTCTATCTATGGCCGGCTCGTACGATCCTTTGGTTTGTCGGTAAATCGACCCGGATCAAAATAAAATGGGAAACTGATGCATGGCATATCCAACCCTTCGGACAACTACACAACTTGTGTTAGATTGCTAGTCGTGACCATGGATTGAATGTATTTTCTGATGGAACTTTTTTTTGCCCTAGGTTTAAGACCTATTTAGGCAGACAATTGGTTGAATACGTAAAAACAATTAACGCTTACACTTCGTTTAAATTCATTTCTGACAATTTTTTAACCCTTCGTTCAACTTAATTTCCTAACCTTCCCATTAAAAACACTATTAGGTGACTATACAAAAAGGATTGAACAGGAACACACGTTTCACGCTAAAGTGCCCTTCATAGCGACTTTTTTTACACAAATAATACAGGCAACGGGTAAAGGTAAATGACATAAAAGGAAAGACAATGGTTAATACTACAACTAACGTCCTACCATTTTGGATTCACAGAACACAGAAAAAGGTAGTTTAGATTTTCCGTTTGGTGCGATTGAAAAATTTCTAGAAAATCGATTTAATAGTTGAATTTCGACTGCCTCAATAGAGAATAGAAGCAGGGGCAGTATGATTTTTTGTTTGGAGATGGCTTAAAATAAAAAATTTATGGCTTCTTGATTATACCGACATTGAAACATTCAGTGGTTAAGGTCGTCATAACTGACATTATATTCATATATATCAGTTTCGGGCAGTTCTATTTTATATAGGTAAGCGTTTACTGTAGCATGTCCATCGAGCAAAAAGACAAAAGAAAGAATCTAATCGTTATGAAAAGGAGACCAAAAAAGTGGCCTCTGATGGCGGACATATCCGAAAATGCGAATGCGCTAAATTTAAATTTTTCGACTCTTATTAATGGCAGCTATAAAATAGTTTTTAGAATGTGTCTTAGACGAGAAACTTTAAATAAATATAAACGATAATAGTCTAAAATGTGACATAATTGTTAATAAACTTCTATATAAATAAGATTTCATGTGACAGTTGGGACAAACAATAACATAACCCAACTAAATTTGATTTCTTAAACAAGGAAAGACTCCCTTTCCTTATTTAATGTGGCCTCTTAAGATGGCACTTCCTGTTTAACAATATTTTTGCCCCCACTACCTTTACATTCCCTCTTTTGTCTTTTTGCTCGATGAGCATGTCTAAAAAGGCATTTACCGTACGTAGTAAATATTTTCCGAGAGATGGAGTTTCTGTTTTTGAGAGAGTAGATGGAAGAGTTGGATATATACAGCAGTATGTATTTATGCTACTGTTAGTAAAGGATTGCCACTCAATTTCCCAATTAAGTCTAACTTGTTTCTTTCTAGCTAAAACTAAATTCCATTTGGGCAACTCATTGTATTTTATATCCACTAAATCTTTAGCCAAATAGTCTACTTTTTTATTGCCTGGAATATTAGAGTGACCTTTAATCCACATAAAGTTACCAATTTTTTTTAGAGAAGCTAGGATCCTTAGCTGTTCAAGCGCATCTACAATTAGTCTGTTGGTATATATGTGTTTAGAGAAGTGTCTTAAGCAAAAAATAATGTGCTATTAATTTTACAATCCAACGCCTTGACACTGGCTACCAATTCAGCTGTAAATATTGAGCAATCTGATTTTAATTTGTCTATGTAAATGGCACAGTCAACACCAGGTGGCGATTTTGAACCATCGGTATAAATTTTACAAGAATGGTTACAGTCTTCCAGCTCGTTCTTTACTACTAAATCTTCGTGAACAATTGAAATAGATGAAGGAATTATAACAGCAGGTTTATATTCATATAGTTTGTCATAATTGGAGCCACAGAATGGAATACCTTCTCCATTAAATGAATAGTGAAATCTATTCTCTCAATGCAAAGCATCTTTGGTGAATTTGGTCTGGTTAATAGCTAAATTGTTCTTTGTAAAGCAGTAGACCTAATATTTAGATGTATTCGTTTATTACGTATTTCGTTACTTTTTATAGAAAATGAGGTAAGAGTATATCTGCTGCAGCTAAGTTCAAAATATGCCATAATCGCATAAGATTTATAGCATATAAAGCATATAGGAAGGATATCATAAAAAAATTCGTCCTCCTCAGTCTTAATCCCTTTTGGGATGTGGTAACACCGTCAGACCTTTACAGTTTTTTTACGATATCCCTTTATCCTTAGCCTTCCTTGGGCTAATTATTCAGCTTCATGTAACCCTTGGTTAATCAATATTTTTGTTTGATCTACCCAACGGCTTATAGATCTTCCCCTAGGTCTCTTTTTTCAACTCTAGACTCGACTATCAGTTTTTTATAGTACCTGTTCTTCTAGCAATGTGTCCAAAATACTGCAAATATCTCTATTGTATTTGTTTAAGCAATCTATCGTTTACTTTAAGTTGTTCTAATATCGATACGTTAGTGCGATAATAAATCCAGGATATTCTTTTGACCCATATTTTAAAAGCGTCTAGTTTATTTTTACCCACTTTTTTTAAGATCCACGTTTCGGATGCATATGTGACTATGGAAAAAATGAGTGTTTTTACTAGCCTTATTTTTGTGTGTATTATTATGCTAGAATTTTTTCAAATTGTTACCAGTTTCATCATAGCTGTTCTAGCAATAGTCAACCTTCTACGTATCTCTCTGTCACACCCTCCATCATTTGTTATTAGAGACCCCAGGTATATAAAACTATTTACTATTTCAAAGCTCCCAATTTCTTTAATATGTTGAAGACCATTCCGAGCTCTGTCTTCTATTAGGATCTTTGTCTTACTCCGATTTAGCTTTAGTTCTTATGCTTTGCTTTTATCCTCCAGACATCTCATTATGTTTTCCATTTCTTCTTGATTTGCCGAGATTTTTAAAGTGTCATCAGGATATCTCAAGTTACTGATATTGAAACTTCCTATTGATATTCAACCCTTCCATCCGTCTGGTACCTTTCGCATGTGTTCCAATGTGTTCGCTGTAGATATTAGTAATATATAATGTGTTCTGAAATGAGCGGAATGGGTGTTGTTTATATTTACTGTGCACTTATTATTTTCATATAGACTTCTAATTATTTGAATTAAGTGGTGGGGTGTTGCCATTTCCACTAGTATGGACCGTAGCTGCTGCCATTTGATTTTATCGAAGGCCTTTGTCTAATACACCAAGCACATAGGCATAGGAGTATTGAATTTACGAGTTTTTTTGATTAGCTGTCTGGCTTTAAGGATGCGTTCTCTTGTGCCTTTTCCTGTGATAAATCCTGCTTGTTCTTCTGATATCTGAGGCAATAGAAAAGCTTGATAGAATAAAAAATCAAAAAAATGAGAAAAATTATATACGCAAAATCCACTAACAGAAATATAAGGTAAAATAAACTTTTATGGCTAATAAAACAAATAAAGTTTTGGATATGAGAATTGGAGTTAAAATAAAGGAGTAGAACAAGGAAAAAAAATAGATCAAATAAAGGATGTATGACAAGGAAGTCAAAAATCAATAGAGAAAATAGAGTTAGTAACAAATGATAAAAAATGGGAACTGTGGGCAAAGAATACTCCAATTAATTGGCCAATGTCATTCTCTTGCCTAAAAAAGGTCTAAGATACCAAAAGCCCTTGTAGTTTATTTTATTTTCTACTGTATATTGATGATCACTTAAAGTTTTAAGCTATTTGCAATAGTATTAGTACAAAAAAAAATATTATTTTTAAAGATATTAATAACTGCAAATATGATAAAATGTTAAATCTATAATAAATATAGCAAATCTCTTTTCGTTACCCATCTGACTTTTGGAGGTCAACAGGCTAACCACCTTGATTTTAAATGATGACAGCCGCCGGTCTGATATTATGATAACTTTTGAGTTGTGTATAATCTTGCATAAGATAGTAATCTATATAGATAATTAAATAGAACCATTGTTGTGTAAAACGTTAATTTATTGCAAGTGACATGTTTTGAGTGAATTCTACCGAAAAAATATTTGTAATATTTTTAGATTTACAGGTATGTTTTTAATAATAATTCTTAGATTTAACAAATATACACAATGCAAATTTGCCATATTATAAATATTGAATGCACATATTTGGGATCTTGCATATTAGCACAATGGATTATATAAACTATGTAAAACTTATATTGATTTTGAACTACTGATTTTGTATATACTGATTTTGAATAGGTACTGATGGTGTATAAAAATGCCGGCAGGATTATTTTCAGGGAGCTGCATCTACATCTACACATACTATAAACTAGGGGTGACCAACTCGGCCTCGAGATCTACTATCTACGTTTTTAATTCTTTGCGATCTACCGACTAGGAATTTTTTACCTATTCTTCTTCGTCAAGTGCCTTCTCCGCTACGGAGTTTGACAATCACCATTGCTATTTGTATCTTTGAAGCTGTTACTGTAAATAATTGGTTATGCCGGGTCCAGACCAAGCAGACAAAACGAAAACACAATTCTGAAACAAAAACACGATAAACCGGCGACAAAATTTGTCGTCAAAAGACAAAACAAAATTGAGACAAACTGTCCACACCAGAACAACAAAATATAAAAACAAATTCAGTTGGTGACGTTATTGTTGTGATTAGTGTTGGTTAACCATGTGGCGTTTTAATCAAGAAAAAAATGAAACTGAAGATTTATTGCTAGCCGCAAGTTTTTTTTGCTCTCATCATCATCCCAGGTTGCTAAAAGAAAACCCAAACGTTTTTGGATTAGACCAAGCCTAAAAATGCGAGAAAGTTGTTCGATAGACGAATTGTTAGTTCAGCTGCGAGAAGATGATATTGGACTAAGTGGTGAAATTCGATTAAGCTTCAAAAATTTTTAAGAATGTCCACCGAAGATTTTGAGAATCTAATATGCCTTGTTGGTTCTGCAGTTGCAAAAAGACATACTAACTTTAGAAATGCTATGAGTGTAACAGAAAGGTTAGCAATCACTTTAAGATTTTTAGCAACAGGTGATTCCTACCACAGCCTAATGTATCTATATTTCAAAAGTATCAAAGCAATCAATATTTGTAATAATACTTGAAGTATGTAAAGCTTTAATTAACAGTCTTAGTGGTTATGTACAGGTATGTTAAACTTTTTTCATTACTATTTTTTTGTTAATATCCCTTAAAATAAACTCCATATTTATTGGTTAAATGTTTAATACAAAAGAAGTTAACGATAGGTACATACTACATGCAAAATAATGACGGGTCTACTTGTTTTTACATTCAAAAAGTTCATCATTAATTTCGTTCGTTTTCTTGATCTGAATACTGAGAAAGCTCTGTGTCAATACTAGGTGGATGTGAAAATAAAGGTTATGTGTTGGTGTTTGATGGATTTAAATAATAATTTTGTGGGTCAGCACTGGGTGGATTTGAGTATGAATGTTGCGTGTTGGGTGGATTTGAGTATAAATGTTCAATGTCGGGTGGATTTGAGTATAAATGTGTGTCAATGCTGGGAGGAGTTGAGTATGAACGTGTGTCAATGCTGGGAGGATTTGAGTATGAATGTTGTGTGTCAGTGCTGGGTGGATTTGAGTGCAAATGTTGTGGGTTGGAGTTGGATGGAGTTGAGTGAACATTTGTGTTGAGACTAAGTAACAGAAAATACACTTAATTTTGATAAAAATTGTACATTCTATTTCTCCTACTGCTTAACTAGTTTTGGCACGCACACGCGTCCACACTGCGCCGACAACTTGTGAATTCAGAATTTGTCGCCACTTTGTCGCGAAACATAAATGTTTTTGTTTTGTCTGTTTGGTCTGGACCCGGAATTAGATGTACACTGGAACCAGTCTCTTAAATTGCGCAGCCAAGATATACGTCGTCTCCACACGCTTCGTTTGCCCCGAATCTTTCCTTGGATAATTAACTGGAGCAATCGGTACTTTTTCCCTCTCATCATATGACCAACATATTCTTACATTCTTCTCTTGATGTTGATCAACAGCTCCCGTTCTTTGTTCACTATTCGAAGAACTACACTATTTATTATTTTGTCTGTCCAAGGTATTTTCAATATTCTTCTATATATCCACATTTCGAAGGCCTCTAGTTTATCGGTATTGCTCTTGTTTAAAGTCCAAGTCTCTACTCCGTTCAGCAGTATCGAAAAGATGTAGCATCTAACCAATCTTATTTTCAGGTTTAAGTTAATGTCATGACTTTCCAAATATGTCGCATATTATCAAAAGCAGCTCGAGCCTTTCCAATTTAAGTTTTTATTTCTTCTGTGATGTCATTGTTGTTATTAACACTTGTTCCCAAATATTTATATTTCTGCATTCATTTTATTTCGTTATTGTGAATGTAAAGGTTTGCATTCAATCTTTGTTGTTTTGAAATAATTGTGAATTTCGTCTTCTTGACATTCATTGTTAACCCTTTCTGTTTACTAGCTGTGACTACCTTGTTTAAAATGGCTTGCAGGTCTACTACTGTCTCCGCCATTAAAACTGTATTATTTTCGTATCTAATATTATTAATTGGTTGTCCGTTAACTTTTATCCCAATCTCATCTTCCTCCAATGCTTTCTTCATAATTTCTTCCGAATAGAGATTAAATAGCATTGATGACAGCACACATCCTTGTCTAACTTCTTTTTTAATTTGAATTTCATTTGTGGCGCTATTTTCGATGGGTGCGACTGCCTTCTGATTATAATACAGAATAGATATTATTCTTATATCGCGAGTGTCTAACTGTTTAGCTTTCAAGATCTCTAAAAGTTGATCATGCTTGAAGTTATCTTGTTGTAATCAATAAAATCAGCAAATACATCTTGATTCACATCCAAACACCTCTGTGTCAATATTTTAAAGGCAAACAATACTTCGCAAGTTCCATATCCCTCCCGGAATCCAAACTGAGTTTCTCCGATATCTTCTTCCAATTTTCTGTAAATTCTATTGTGAATTATTTTGAACAATATTTTTAAGGTATGGCTCATCAAACTGACTGTGCGATGATCACTGCACTGCTTAGCATATGCCTTCTTGGGAAGAGGGACAAAGGTTGATCTTAGCCATTCTTCAGGAATTATACTGTTTTCATAAATCTTGTTAAATAAGTCAACTACTTAACAAATCGATTCTATCTACGTCTATCAACTTTAGTATATCCACTGGTAGCTCGTCTGGTCCTGGAGCTTTGCTATTCTTTATTGACTTCACCGCCTGCATTACTTTTTCTTCACCGTCTTCTCTGGAAAATTATCACAAGGCCTTTCATCGTCAAACAGTTCTTCTATATATGTCTGCCAATGTTTTAGTTTCTCCTCTGTTTCCATTATCATGTTCCCTTGTTGGTCTATAAGTACTGTCTGTTTCCAGTTTCTATTGTTGATCATTTCTTTAACTTTCTTGTGAAGATAGAACAAATCATATTTGGCTTTCAAGTTTTCAATCTCCTTACATTTGTCTTGTAACCATTGTTTTTTAGCGTCGCGGATTTTTCTTTTGATCTCTGTGTTAATTTTCTTATACTGTTCTTCATTTTTACCCCTCGATAGTCTTTGAGAATTCATCAATAACAAAATTTCGTCATTAATCCATTCTTCCTGTTTCTTTTGTTTTTCTCTCTTCAGAATACTTTTAGCGGGCTCCAGCACGTTCTATTTAATAATGGCCCAGTGTTTATTAATGTCTAGTTCTGGTATCTTTTCTGTCTTTTCAAGTTTTTCAAGATTTGCCTGAATGCTTGTTTCTACCTAATGTTTAATTGTGTCATCATTTAAACGATTGATATCTATTACTTCTTTGGGCTTAGGTGTTTGTACTCTTTTAAGTTGTATTCGGAATTGTGCCAGTACTGGATTGTGGTCTGACCCTTTATCTGTTCCTGGATACGTTTTCACAGATTCGATTTTGTTTTTATATCTGTTGTTTATGGTTATATAATCTATTTAATTTCATATAACATGATATTTAGTGTCTCCAGGAGATTTTCACGTGTATACTCGTCGTCTTGGTAGTTGATAAAATGTGTTTTTAATTATAAAATTATTTTCCTGGCAAAATCTCCGGAAACAGCCGATCGCCTCTTTTACTTCTTTGGCCGAGACCATATTCTCCAACCCATTTGCCACATTATCCTTTTCCAATTTTCGCATTCCAATCTCCGATTTTTATTGTAATGTCTCTAGACTTAACAGCTTTCAGTGTTTGTTCAATGGTTTTATAAAATTCTTCTGTATCTTCTTCGCTACTCTCCGCTGTCGGAGCATATATTTGAAGTATATTTATTTTTCCCTGAATGGTTGACAGTTGTAGAAATATAACTCTATCTGATACTGGTACAAAGTTTATAATCTACTTACTTATTTCCTTGGTGACCATTATTGCCACTCCCTTACTATGATGATTGTCATTTCGTACTGAAAAATATATGGTACCGTTTGAGATGACGCATTGACCTGCATTTGTCCATCTGACTTCGCTGAGTCCTAAAATACTGATCTGTAACCGACACATCTCTTGACTAGCATTATGTAGTTTTCCAGCTTCAAACAGCGTTCTCATATTCCATGTGGCGATACGGATCGATGTATTATGCATTTTGTAGAAGTTTTGCAGATTGGCGACCGGAGGAGCCCTGAAACTTATTGAATCTCCCCTCCTGCCGGATTTTGGTTTCCGATGACCATGATCACTAACTTCCTAAGAATCGCTATTCTTTGCCATGATGATTTATATTAGGGGTACTCTACGAATCTTTAATACAGTGGTTCCCCGTTGTCTTCTGTATCATTATGCCGTTGGCCTTGGTTCATCCGCCTTCGAGATTGATTTCTCAATTTCAGGACAAAGGAGTGCCCTACCACCTACCAACTCATCCGCCTGAAGCCGTTGGTCAGTAAGTGGGGGATTGCTTATACCGGCAATCGCTGGGTGCATATCTGGCTATCTGGCATATCTGGCTACCCTCACTTAGTTTATATCATAAGTGAGAGTTTATGACATCACCTCCCGTCTATGACGCTCG